CTAAGAAAACGTGCCTTCACAATCACGGTGTGCACGGAGGTAACTAGAGTTGGCTTATCTCATTTCGACAGCCTCGTGCAAAGTCTATTCAGGCCGAGGAACATGCACCACACGTTGTCATAGTCTAGTATCAGTATTAACTGTGTGAGCAGGGTCTGCGGGTGCTGTCACGAAGCAGATGTCACGATTACGTCAGTGAAACTTGTGCAAATGTTTTCAATTTGATTTCAAAAACGCGTTGATTTGGTGTAGATTTCGATTATTGAAACTGAATTGTAAACACCCCTCGCGAAGACGAGTTTTCAGCTCACGATGCAGAATAGGCATCATGACTTGGGGGAGTGGGCCGCTGTGGTATTTTCTTTAAATGCGATCACGTGTTAAAGGCACAATGCCTGACACTGACGAGTTCGACCTTGGAGCCCAAAATAGACCTTTTTAATGCTTTTGGTATGGTCAAGCTCATGAAGACAACTGGAACTGCAGAGAAGAACGAAGCGCTAGATAAAGGTGGGTAGAATTTCTTGTGGATAAGTCTAAACCATGGAATGACAAGTTTTTGGTGCTCTTCTACAGACTATCAAAAAATCATGGAAAACTAAAAGTGTTCCATGTACATAACAATAACATTTCCAGCTAAAAAAAGTACCATGTTTCTTATGGAAGCCAAACAAGGTACTCGTGACAAAAAAATAGAAGCTGCTTCGGCTGTCACCCCGCAGCATTAGACTTTTAACACGGACTTCCAATCATCAACTAGGCTCAATATCTCCTGATGTTGTACCTTTATGTTACCGCGATCAAAACGACCAAATCATGACGCGGCGATAGAAAAAGTGTAAACTTTGAGTACCTTATCTTCAGCTCACAGTCGTCCAGGGCCTGTAACGTTTATATAGATTCTGTGACTCTACCAAATAGCAGGTGATTACTTTTAACTCACACCTATATGTATCATCGATCAGAATTTTTTTCCAGAAATCTCAAATCTTTCGAAAACATGCTATTGAAGTCAGGTGCCTGTCGGATTCACAAACTAACTGTACGCCTAGGCGGAAAAACTTTGCGGCACCTTAAGTTACATTTCAATTAGCAATTAGCAAAAATTTGTTGATTACTTTATTATTCCTAAACTTTAGGGCCGTTGTAATAAAGAAAACCTGTATAAGGTCACAACTTGTATATGGTCGCATGTAGTTCGAGATAATAATCATTAAAATTCAAGATCCCGACGAAGGTGATACCGAAACTGAATGCATCGGCCGCGCAGGAAATTCGTCCCCTGTGTAACAACTCTTTCATAGGTTCTCAATTTAATAATTTAGAAAGTTAATTAACGAATACTTGTAAGTTACTTACTTGTGTGCAACTTCAGGTGCGGCAAAGTTTTTCCGCCTCAGCGTAGAGTTCGCTTACGAAGACGACAGAGCCCTGGATGTAACATTTTTTTTAAATGTACAATGTCTAGAAAATTAACAGTCTTTTTACTCCCCCCCATGACCCCATGTAATCCATCAACTCAAATCTGCCTAGTCAGACAATCCTATTGACAAGGGGACTTGTGATGATCAGAAGAATGCAAGTCCTCTCGTCTTAACACTCACTTCAGCTGCATCATTATTTAAACAATATTTCATAGGTGCAAGCCCCCATCTCAGTTTCCCAGAACTTCTATCTTGTTGTAATTAAAGCGGGATAGAGCTCCATGACTTCCTTTTGCTTTGTTCCTAAATTTAGTCTTTATCCTTATTTTTGGTTCAGTTTATGACGCAATACACTTTTCCTAATGGTAGTTCCGATACCTGTGTCTAGTCCCACGGAATTAGAGGTCACGTTGAGAACCGTAAAAACGTCGCGACTAATTACCAAGCATGCGACAACCAGACAAAGACCTCCCTTGATATCCTCCTCTCCCTCCTCCTTCAGAAACACCAGTCAATCCACCTTCTCGACAGTGATTTTCCGACACGTAGAATTTTTCGAGCAACTTTAGTTAACATCGCTCCGGAAAGGCAGCCCTCACTTCTGCTTTTTTTTTTTTTTGCGTCTCTGGGAGGCTGTACGCAAGGCTCGTGAGCTAACCAGCAGCGATTAAAAATCTTTTTTTCTTTTTTCTTTTTTCTTTTTTTTTTGATAAGATAGATGCTTGGGCTAGTTGGGGATTGGCAATCAACATATTTAACCACAGCGCAAGACTACGAGCAGTTACGTCGTAACTAATCGTAGTCTTGCGCTGTGCAAATATGTTGATTCTTTTTTTTTTTCTTGCTCTTTTGCTCGTATATATCAGTGTTTTTGAAAGCTCTTTGTATAGGTTCAAAATTTTTCCAACTCATTTTGTTCCTATAAATAAGAATAGCATCTGCATTCATTTAAGTTCAGCAAATGTCATGCCAGACCCGCATCATTTTCTGATTATTTCTTCTTGTACACTCCTTCTTTTAGTTTGGGAATGCACTTGTTTTTCACAGCGAGAAAACGGTGGACACAAATAATCAACCGGAGTCAAATGCGTGATATAAAAAAGTAGGATTGGTGAAAACAGGGGTTTCGTTTAAACGCTAATATGCTCTATGGTTGGTTAAGGAATCAAGGATATGCTTTAGTAACCACTCTCCGTCGAGCAACGCGCGATTTGAAAACAGCGCTCGCAAAGAAGTGTCTGCAACACCGGCACCAGCGGAGTTTCCACCTCCGTTTTCCTCTGCCGCAGTAATAAAAGTTCGTTACTATAAAATCACGAATGCGTACGCTTCTTTATAGTGAAGTGAAAAATCGGTGGACGTTCTGTGGGCATGAAGCTATAAACTGAAAGAAATATTTCGTTGTATCGAAAGTTTTCTTTCCAAGATTATATAATAACATATATCGAACGTTGTGGTGTGCTTGAATATTGGCGCCAATTGACATCGAATCCCGGCCGCGTTGGCAGCGTTTCCTTGGAGGACAAACGCTAGACGCCCATTTGCTTAGAAATGGGTACACGTTAGAGGTGGTTGAAATTTCCGGAGCTCTCCACTACAGCGTTTCTCAGTATCATGTCGTTATTTTGGGACGTAAAACCCCGACAATTTTTTATTGATACATCTAACAATATCTTACGACGAGCCGTCACTAATTCGAAAACAATGTCTCAGTGCGAAAAAAAATGAAGTCGTAAAGGATGGCTCTGGAATGCACTAGTTTATTGGTGTAGATTGACGTCGTGTACACACGCTATACGCTTGGTTGCTGGTCATCAATTACACAGCGTGTCGACGCATTTAGGTACAGCTTTTGATGAAAAATTGTGTAAGCACGCAATGACAGGGAATTTGGGCGATTTATTTGCGAGTAATGGTAGTTTTCACTATTATTTTCTCGTGCAAGTGTGTACGGAACTAGTGGTAGTGCTGACTATGATCGTATTGATGGGTACATTGTCAGTTAAATATTCATTGTCTCGGAAAATAGTACCGTGTGATGTGGAACTCGTTTGCGGATCAGTCACCCCCGAATAATTCTTTATTGACTTAAAGTTTAAGATGCCCTAGTCACTGTTTTCGGCAGGCAGATCGAAGGAAGAAAACGCAGGAATCACAACTGCTTTTTGTTCAGTTTGCTACACTTGGCATCCTGGCCTTATGGTGATACCCTTAAGATGACACACGAGCTTTTCTGCAGTACATGAAGGCGACTGACTAAAAGGGCACGACTACACAAGAGCCGCCCCCGTTCTAATTCTATTCGAATTTTCGCGTAGTTCTGTACACCTAAACATCGTGAACACCATACCTCATGTCCGCTCTATAACAGCTGGTTCGTCGGCTACCTCTCCTGTATTTATCGCTAACCACTTTGCATGGCTATAAAGCCTTATCATTGAAAGTGTCAAGCGTATCCTGGTATTTCAAGCATGCTTCACTGTACCTTGCGTTCACGTGCGGACCCGCACATGGCCAATGGGAAATCGAAAACACAGTGTAGCCAATATTGGTTATGGGGGTGAAAGAGCATTATGTAATGTGCCGAAAAGCGCTTCGAATGCGGTGAGTGTATATTATATACATAAGTTGCATGTAAAGAAATTTTCACGAGCCAGAACACATGCATTTCCACTGAGCTGCATCATAACGATAAAAATAGTTTGAGTTTAACGTCCCAAAACCATCCATGATATCATGACGAGAGACGCTGTATATAGTAGAGGGCTTCGGAGATTTCGAACATTTGGGGTTATTTGATGTGCTGTTGTGTGTCATCTGGTACAGCATCTCAATTTGTATCCCGAGTTCTATTCCTGCCTACTGAGGCTGTGCCCCGGCGTGAGAGGAATGATGACGTCAAAAGATGACGTCGCGATTATGAAGCATTCCTTCCGATTGTCGCACATATGCAATGACCATCTCTGCCAAAGGGCGACACTGCCGTAACATTTTCGATTCAAAAGGGAGCTTAGAGCGTATGTGGTTTCTAGAATAAGGCGACTAGTTTATTGAAATTTCTACCCACCTTAAGGAACCGCAAGTGTCCACTATTAATCTTCAAACAACCAAAATGCTATTTATCTTCGCCCAGCAGCGCATAAAATGATTACGTATGATTTATTAATAGATGTAAATGCAGCGTAGTTGAATTCTGCTGTATCATGAATGAAGTAAAAAAGCAAAGAGGTTACGCCCAGCGAGTATAACGTAGCAACCCTTTCTTTTCAAGTAGTGCTCAAGGTACATGCCAATAACTGCGAATGGAGAATGAGAGACAGGGGAATTCGGCTTTTATTTAACGCGCACGCTGCGAATTTTTCATTGTTCAACAACGAACAGGAGAAATCTCCCACCAGCACCACCTTGCAGATCAAAACGGAAGACTGGTTACGCATTACGACGAGGGACGAACGGGTGCCGCTTTAAGGAGCTTCGCTCCTAAAACAAGAATACACTCGCACACTACTTGGACACTCTTAAATTTCACACCGGCGTAAATGTGATGGTGAACCAATTGATTTTTTTTTATTACAGAACGACCACTGGGACGACTTACTTGCTACAAGGTACATCCTGCGCGAATATAATGGCTTCGGCTCTGAGGCGACCAGTCAGCCTCGCACTGCGGGTGCTCCCCCGTTGGATGTCATGGCTGGTGGTCGCTTGCGCTGTGGCAGCGAAAGCGGCCCGATATTTCGATTTGGTGCTCGACCCCGAGTCTCGGTTCCGGCTTTACTGGACGGTCGACTACGAAGCCGAATCGCTGACAGCGGAGCTCAAGCTTGACCTGCCCTCCGACGACTGGTTCACCATCGGCTTCTCTGATCGTGGAGACATCACTCTCGCAGACGTCTGCGTGCTCTGGGCAGATCCTCATGGACGGCCACACCTGGAGGTGAGCACGCGAGAGAGGGGCATCTGGAGAAAGTTCACGTGTACGCAAAAGTTGTCTTTTACATCTGTGACAGAGTGACAAAGTTGTTTTTTCTCGTAGCGCCATCAAGAGACAAACGCAGATGCTTAGCGCATGTCGATTCAGCCGACTCTGAAACAAAATAGGTAGTAACAAAATTGATTTATTGATTGATTGATTGATTGATTGATTGATTGATTGATTGATTGATTGATTGATTGATTGATTGATTGATTGATTGATTGATTGATTGATTGATTGATTGATTGATTGATTGATTGATTGATTGATTGATTGAAAGTTCACCCCTCCTTCGAACACCGACATCCTCAACCCTTGCCCTCAGCTCTCGAATCACGCCCTGGCCTCTTGCACCACGTCACAGCGATCCCTAGTAACCGAACCTCACTCTCACACACTGCGAGGCCCCGTGACCAGCGCTACGTCAACGGACGGGAAGATTCGACAAAGAACTAATTCGCTGTTGAAATACGTGATTTAAGCAGGGAAAACTATATATTTAACAAAGTAATGAGCATTTTCAGTTGTTATTCAGCGTTTGTTTTATTTCCTTCTCCTCTCTAGTGACCATGTTTGAACGCCTCACCATCTTCCACAATGAATTCCTGCCAACTACAGCTCAACATTTTGTTATTATAAGTGACTCTAAAATTAAAAACGTTTGCAATATTAGTAGATAGCATGAAAAAACAATAATCATGCCTACTGACAATTCAAACTGGGCACGGCAAACTGTGCAGCTGATCATCTCACACGCGTGATTTTTACTTACTTTGTTTACTTGGCACGCTCGCAATTTTTGAAAGGTACTTACCGGTTGCTCACTCTGACAGATGCCAAACTTGTCACGACACCAAACAGATTGAAGAAATCTGTCGTCCATTGGCTACCAGCGACAGCTCCACTCATTCCTAATGCTCTATCTACAACTAAATGTGCGTATTCTCTGGCATATTACACAAGTACTAGAAAAGATGACAAAGATCTTTCCGTGTCTGCGGCCCGATTCCCACTCAAACAGGGACTCCTTAATTCACCTTGAGGTAAGCAATAATTCAATCGCGGAATTCTACAGCGTAATCACATGTACGAAACTCTGAGAAGCGCGCTACTCGTCTTTTCTTTTTCATCTCACGCTGGTCTCGCCTAACGCTTTGGCGTTTCTCGCAATTCAGCCAAACACGCACCATGCGATGACGACAGCACGTAGGTTATATGCAATAAACGCCCACATACCATTTGCACAACTGCCTCAGAAGATTCTACGTGTACTTTTTCTTCTAACACAAGTAAGATTTCACAATTCTCAAGGTAGCAATGTAGAAAGATGACGTAGTAAGCTACGGATGTAAGAAAGATAAAATATACTACTTTCACCTCGGTTAATACAGAAGCCACCGGGAGACATAGCATATACAGCATAAGCGGCGTAATCTCGCCCGGCATCTACTCCATCGACGTTCTTCGCACCTTCACGACGTGTCAAAGGCGCCCCTTTGAGATCATCAGCTGCCCTGTGGACACGCCGACGTCTTTTGGTCGCACACATTCTTGTCTTTTCATGACCTCGCTAGTGCTCCTTTGTGCGATCACTGCAATGGTTAAGACAAGCTCGGAGAACGACAAAGAAAAACAGCGGCAATGTGATGGCAGCGACGTCTTCAAAAGGCCGGACCAGCCAATCAAAGCACGGCAATTTCTCTTCGAAAAGTTCTGACGTAAGTTATGCACGGATGTCGCAAGAACTGGTAAAACAAGATAAAAATAAATCAGGTGATCAGGCACAAAGATCCAGCACATTTGGCAGTGGGTTGGAAGGAATTTTCGGCTGTGAGAGAGAATTCAATAAAAAGCAGCCCGAGACCATATATTGTGCCACTGCCATCTTTGTTTCTTCGGGTATGGTTACTCAATATTCATGTGTGTAAGTAACCTTTCCGTTAGTACGTCCATGTTCTCCCGACGTCTTAAGAATTGTAATTCCCGGCAACAGACAGGACGAAATTCACGCGTGTACCTAACACTCGCGAATACCTAAGAAATTCACGCGAGAACCTAACAAGTTCACACTGGACAAAAAGATATTCATTTGCTGAACGTTGAGGCAAGATGTTCTCGCAGAATTGTACAAGGAAAGTTGTACAATACAGTCTGAAAGATTAGTGTGAGGGGCCACTAAAGTAATATTCAACAGTCTCGGAAGAGAACCACGCTTTAAAATAAGTAGTGAAGCAATGTAAATGGTAAAAGAATACTATACCGAATAAAAGTAGGGACGTGAAGCCGAACCATGAGCCTGGAGTATCGAGAAGAATAAGAATGGGGTAGAGTTCTTTTGGAGGCCTTCTCAAATCGTGAATGGCAGTTAAGGTATACCTGGTGTTCAAAGTTGAGCTTTATTATTTTCTTGAAATTCAGAACTGAGAAGAACATAAAACACCTTTGCGCATAACTTGTGTATCCAGGGGGACACAAAGGGAGACAATAAATATGACTGTCAGTGACAAAATCAGGTAAGATTTAATAATGAACTTTTCGGTGACTGCATCCAGCGGGCCTATTTATATTGGAAAGTTGGAGGTAGTCGCGTTTCTTCACAATTACACTTGGACGAATTCTTTTGGTATGCCTGTGCACCGAGATATCCCGCAGCAGTGTTTAATTGTTCTTCTGCTGATTATTCTACTGATATTAGATTGATTTCCAGCAGTAGAAATACTGACAGTCTTTGTTGAAACACTCATGACATATTCATGTGTTTATATTCGAGAGACTGCTTTTTTTTTCTTCTGCATTACTATAAAGATATTAGACAAAAATATTGAGAAGTTATTCTACTTTGTGAAGATTAACAACCAGGATTTAGCACATGACACAGAGGTGACACAGAATTTTGAACCATGTCACACCTTTCAGCTAAATTGAAAATGTTCATCCAGAAAGTACTTTTCAATTAGACGTGTGCTCCTTCAAAGTTTTCTACTTCTGTGGTATATGTGTTTTTTTGCCACAACATGCATCCTCTTGTCTGGCTTGCCGCATGCTGCTTTTTGAGCTCGGTGATCAGAATGTAGTCCACACATCGTCTTCGTTGCCCACTGCCAGTAGAAAAAAAATTCAGCAAGTTCTTGGCTCTCGATATTAAGAATTTCATAGTCGCATGAACACTTAACTAATGCTGTAAATAATTTGAAAGACTATAGCAACTGCCATGAATCCGGGACATGACCAAAACCTTCCTTCCAAAGTGGCTTCTTTTCATGATGAGTGCAATTGCATTAAAGCACGTTTCACAAAATGTAAGAGGCAGTGGCTTTAAATTTGGGAATGAAGAGAAAGGTGAGCCCCGCAACTCTCCTCTCTCTCTCTCTCTCTCTCAGGGGAGGACACCTCAGCAGTAGGAGACAGGGGAAGGGGAGTGGGGAACGAATGATAGGCTAAAGAAATCAGGGTGGGAAATATAAAACAATGAGAGACTCATCAGCCGTGGCAGACGTGAGTCACCACGCGCCAGATGCAGCCGCAGGAAAAGTAGCCAAGGAGGCCGAGAGATAAGCCCAGCCGAACAAGAAAAGAAAAAGACAGGCCACTAGCGCGTTGAAAAATTATATCCGCGATACTCATAATGTGAATTATGTTAGAGGAGCTTGTTCGGAGATGATCGTGTGACCCGCAAATCCTCCGTACGCATTCATCTACCAACATATAAAGTCGTGACAGGTTTGCTTGACGGCGAGCCTTCTTATATTCAGCCTCCTGGGCTTTCACCACAAAGTCTTGGCTGCAAGCTCGAGCTTCTGCTACGTTGCGAGCCCACCACGATGCTGCCTTGACTTCTGGAGTGTTCATGTTGCGATGTGGTAACGAAGAGTGTTCACTGAATAATCTCCCAGAGAAGAGAAAGGAAACGCATCTAACGTGAACTTTGTCTACAGGCGCTGCTCTCTAAAGGTCACCTGTCTAACCAGAGCACGAACCACCGAGCATAGTTCACTAAAATTAACTTGAGGGTACTCTGGCGTTCCGTTCGTTCAGCGACCATGGGAATCACACAAATTTCCCTAGTGTTCGTACTTGCAGACCTAGAATCACACTTGTGGCTTGATTTATTGCTGTGTTTCGGTTTTGTTTTGAAGGAAAGAACGAACCCTTTTGAACTTCGCCACCCGCTTTGAAATGGTAAACCTAAAATATTAAGGTGGTGAAGCGTAAGTATGAACATTTGCCGATTGTTGTTTCATGACAAAGCAGCTTCAAGCCACGCGAAGCCTAAGTGAACCTAAAGTATGAATACTAGGCGAATCAGTGTACTACCCTTATTACCATGCTCGTTGAAGGGCCATACGTTGCAGCTCCCATAGAGACTAGCGCCAGAGTTCCCTCTAGTGTATATCCAGTAAAGTTCATGGCGCTGAGTGTGCAGGTGGCATGGCGGGCGGTGTACAGGCGCACTGGCGGCACCCCGCTAGCATGACTCACCGGTGGTCACGCAGATGCGAGAGAGGACAGTGGTGCCTCAAGCGGAAGCAATGAGAACAAGTATACAAGCCGCCGACCACAAAAAGCCGCGAGCATGAAAAGCTTGACGAGACAGCTCCTAAAAGGGTACGTGCATAAAGTGCTAGCCGGAGCTGAAGTCCTGGCACTAGAGAAAAAATAAACAGTCCAATGAACTTACATGGTTGAAGTCCGTTGACCTCGTTATAGGTATCCTAAGGTGGTTAATGCTTCAGGGTGTCGTGCGCGGTGACAACCACGGCACACAAACCACGTCCCGAAGAATTCACCGGTATGACCACAAAAACGGCACGTAACTCTGGCGGTAGTGTCTACGGGAGCTGCAATGTATGACCCTTCAGCGAGCATGGGAATTATGCGTAGTACACGGACTCGCCTAGTCTTCGTCTTCATCATCATCATCGTCAGCCTGACTACGTCCACTGCAGGACAAAGGCCTCTCC